CAGCAGCAGCAGCAGCAGCAGCAGCAGCAGCAGCGGCTGCAGCAGCAACTGCAGCAGCAACTGCAGCAGCAGCAGCAGCAGCAGCAGCAGCAGAAAAAAAAAGATGTAAGCTTCAAGTTTCTTGCTGGTGCTTATCGCTGTCAGCAGGAGCTGGAGGAACTGCAGCAGCAGCTGCGCAACAGCAGCAGCAGCAGCAGCAGCAGCAGCAGCAGCAGCGGAGATGACTTTTGCTGCTCAGGTTATGGTGTTGCTGCTGACGTGTCGATGCTGCTGCAGCGAGCGCAGCAGCTGCAGCAGCAGGCGCAGCAGCTGGAGCTGTATGCTGAGGATGTAGAAGACATAGTCTTGCTGCAGCAGCTGCGGCAGCAGCAGCAGCAGCAGCAACAGCAGCAGCAGCAGCAGCAGCAGCAGCAGCAGCTGAAGGATGCTCGCGCACACAGACACGGTGTCTTGAGGTGCCTATACACCTCAATGCATGCAGCAGCAGCAGAGCTGCAGCAGCAAGAAGTTGCAGCATTGAAGCAGCAGATGGAGTGTAACAGATTCTTTTCTGCTGCTGCTGCTGCTGCTGCTGCTGCTGATGGAAATCATGGGCTTGGTGCTGCTGCTGCTGCTGCAGATGCTGCTGCAGCAGCAGAAGCTGCTATGCGACGCCAGAGGCAGCAGCAGCAGCAGCTGCGGCAGCAAAAACAGCAGCAACAGCAGCAGCAGCAGCAGCAGCGTGTACAGAAGGGTGCTGCAGCAGCAGCAGCAGCAGCAGCAGGAACTGAATCCGAGCAGCAACAGCAGCAGCAGCAGCTGCTGCTGCTGCGGGAGGATGAGCAGCAGCTAGCAGCAGCATTTGCAGGAGATAGTGTTGATGTTGCGGTGTCTATACACAAAAAAATAAAACAAATAAATAAATTAATGGATTTGTTTGTTTATACTGTATCTACACAAACAGAGAAATGCATGCATTTAGTTTCTTTATCCAACGAAGCAAATGAAAATATATATAAAGCAGAGAAAGAAATAAAAAAAACTATAAAAAATAAATATAAATATAAATACTATATTCTGCATGCGTTCCTCTTTTTGGGGCTTTTTGTTCTT